GGTCTGGGAACTAAGTACCAAACATCATTCCTGATGAATTGATTCAATTCTTCATGCCTTGCATTGACCCAGAATTCATCCTTCAGAGCTTCTGCAATATTCCTTGGTTCCACTGAAGACACAAAACAAGTGGTTCCAGTTAGTGCACATTCAGAGGATAAATTTGCAAATCTTACCATATCTCTGTAGTTTACTCTCTCTTTTCTCCTTGTCCTCATTCCATCAAAGATATCTCCCACTACTTGAGTAGACGGGTGATTTTTCTGAATTCTACTTGAGGGTTCCTTTCTGCAGACATCAAAGATTGGCTGCAATTCAGTCTCTGTAGGATGTGTTGAGTCAGATGTGGTGACACTTGGCTCAACACCTTCTTCTCTTAAGACTGGACTGTTTGTGTCTGGGCTCTCTGTGGTAGAAGTGTCTTCCTCTGTTGTTTCTCTTTCAGCAATTAAGTCATCAACTTCATCTTCAGCTGTTTTACTGCGGAGATCAGCAAAGTCATCAAATACCACATTTACAGATTCAATAATGGTTCGAGTTCTTAGATTATATACTCTATAAGCATGACTGTTATTAGAGTATCCCATAAATAAACTCAAATCACTTTTTGAATCAAACTTAGCTAGATGATCTCTATCATTTAGAACATAGCAGACACATCCAAACACATGCATGTATTCTAGATTAGGTTTCTTACCATAAAGAATTTCATATGAAGTCATCATAGATCCTAATCTTAGGTACACACGGTTTGAGATGTGACAGGCTGTGTTGACAGCCTCAGCCCAAAACCTCTTAGACAGATTTTTTGCACTCATCATCACCCTAGCCATTTCCTGGATGGTTCTGTTTTTTCTTTCAGCAATGCCATTTTGCTGAGGAGTTTTTGGAGCAGAAAATTCATGCTTTATACCCTTTTTATTACAAAATGCAACAAATAAAGCATTCTCAAATTCTTTTCCATGATCAGATCTTATCCTACGAATAGAAACTTGAAATTGAGTTTTAACAAACCTATACAAATTTCTGAATACATCAAAAGTGTCTGATTTTTCTCTTAAAAAATACACCCAAGTATATCTTGAAAAATCATCAACACACACAAAGACATATTTTTTACCACCTAGGCTTTCTACCTCTATAGGACCCATAAGATCCATATGTACAAGTTCAAAACAAATAGTGGTACCAACGTGTTGCAACACTTTGTGTGGTACTCTGGTTTGCTTTCCCTTCTGGCACATTCCACATATAGGAATATCCTTGATCTTGAGATCTGGTACTCCTCTTATAGCATTGTACTTGTTGAGCAGCTTCAGATTCTTGAAATTTGTGTGGCCTAGTTTCTGGTGCCACAGCTCTACTTCACTTACTCTTGAGCTCTTGCATGAGATGGTGTCACCTGTTTGATAGCAATTATCCATTGATCTGGAACCTGTAAGTACACAATGATTTTGATTATCAAACACAGAACAACAGTATTTATCAAATTCTACACGTAGATCATCATCACACAATTGACTGATACTGATGAGGTTTGACCCCAATCCTTCAACGTGTAAAACATTTGAGAGTTTTGGAAGCCCCTCAATACTGAGTGTTCCACGTCCAACCACTTTGCCTTTAGCTCCTCCTCCATAGGTTACACGTCCTCCATTAAGTGTGTGGTAGTTTGATAGAAATTCCTTTGTTCCAGTCATGTGTCTAGAGCATCCACTATCAAAGTACCATGAACCTGAAATGTTAGCATTTAAAGAGGTGTATACTGCCTTGCACAAAAGTTTACCTTTGGGAGTCCATATTTTACACTCCTTTTTGGTAAATTCTACCTTTTTCTTTGAGGTGTTCCTTGAAGTGATGTGGCTTATTTTATACAACATTTTGTCATTGCTGAGTTTTTCACAAAATGGACGAATGTGCCCTGGTGAGAAACAGTAGTGACAAACATAACCTCTTATTCTGGAATCTGGAGTGGTGGCTGTGGACTTCCTGGATTCCTTTCTATTTGCACCCTTTTCTTTTACAAAAACAATTTCTTTCTTCTTAGCTGGCGTTATTTGTTTTTTGAACCCTAGCCCTTCATGTTTGTAGTGCTTTTCCATTGACACAATCTCATCAAGTTTAGTTGTGCCAGTGTTCATCCTCTTGATTGCTAGGGTTGCCTTTTTGAGTTCATCTTTCACCTTTGCCAGTTCAAGATCCTTCTTGGTGATTCCAACCTCCAAATGTGTGATTGTTTCTTTGAGGGAGGAATTTTCCTTGTTGGCTGCATCTAGAGCTTGAGTCTTCTTCTCCAGGTCAAGAGCAAGTTTTCTACACATTTCTTCCTCATCACTAGTTGCTTCAATGCTGGATTCTGCTGCATTTAAAGAAATAGAGTTTAAACATGTATAATGATCAGTGTTTAACTCAGAAATTTCAGTTACTGAAAGTGTTTCAGAAAGTGTTGCAGCATCCAAGGAAACTCTTAGTGATTCTGTTTCAGAAGCATTTCCAGTGATATATCTGACAGAGAGAGCTTGTTTAGGGGATTGCTGATCCTCTGTCTGTTCAGGTTGCTCTTCCTCCTCATCACTGACAGCACAAATCAAACTCATTCATCTTCTTCTTAAGGTATTTGCACACTCATTTGCATAATGTCCAAATCCTGAACAAGCCCTGCATTTAATGTGATCTAAGTTAGGTGGTTCAGAATTTGAACGAACAAATGAAGAATTTTTAGAAGTGTTCTGAGAAGGTGTTTGAGAAAATGTTCTCTGTGAAGTAGATCTGTTCCGGGGCTGAGTTTGTCGATTTTGCGAAGAGCCATCTGGAAATAATTGTCTGGGCTTGACTCCACCTCGCCTGTATGCCCTATTGAATTTCTGAATTTGGAATGCAACATTGTTGAGACATTCCTCTGCATCATCATCAAACTCCGGAGCAACATCTTCTTTCTCCAATTCTGCCTGAAGTGCATTTGAGATAGCCTTTCCTTTCTCCTTTCTTTGATCTTCGAAGTTCATCTCTCTGGACTTGAGACTTCCAATTAATTCGTCCAGCCGTAGAGATGATGTATCTTTAGCCTCCTCAATAGCAGTAACCGTCATGCTGAACCTTTCTGGAAGAGTTCTCAATACCTTATTCACCAGTGTCTCGTTGCTCAAGGGACCACCTAAGGATTGAAATTCATTAGCCAAATCAATCAACTTCTCATTGTACTGAGAAATTGTTTCAGTTTCCTCCATTCTCAGTCTCTCAAATTTGGAAGAGAGTAATCTGAGCTTGGTTCTTTTGACACTATCTGATCCCTCACAATGTAGCTGAAGAATTTCCCAAGCATCCTTTGCAGAAGTGCATACAGAGATTAATTTAAACATTGTTAAATCTACTGAATTAAAAATTGCATTTAACGCCTTTGAGTTTTGGTTAGCATTTGATAGATCGTCTGGTGTCCACCGTAATTCTGGAGTTGGAAAAACATCTCCGTCCACATCTGTGATAGTTGGTGGCTTCCATCCAGTGAGAATAGATCTCCATGCTCTCTCATCAATGGCTTTGATGTACGCCCTCATCTTGACTTTCCAGTAGGTGTAGTTCGTGCCATCAAGTACAGGAGGTCGCATAGAAGCAGTCATCTGAGTATCCATCACGAATTCGTTTCTGTAAGAAAAATAGGAACAAACACTTAGTATACGTCAAGTGTTGGCTCTGATACCAATTGAAAGAATTTATGGTCCCGAATTCGTTTAATACAGAGGTGTTATCTTAAGTGTTATGACACTTGAACAAACATGCAGCGGAAATATAAAGATAAAAGAACAATACTCAGAATTAAAAATGTTCACAAGTAAAGACTTGTGAACTTGCCCTTTACAGGACGGAAAAATATATTAAAATCAGTATTCCAAGAATACAAACAGAAGAGTGCGAAAACTTCTTCCTTATGAATGAATCTTTTTCAAGATCATTCTTACAATCAAATCTAGATACTAAAAGAAAAATATTAAAAATTCTAGATTTCAAAGAATGTACTCATAAGGAGTACGTAAAGCAGATCCTAGAAAACAATCTAAAATTCTCGAGATTAAAACTTTAGCTCTCTTTTTGTTCTCTCGAAATCTGTACAAATCTTGAGTCTTGAGTTGGGTATTTATAGACTTTGCCAAGCTTCCACTTCTCAGCCCATGATCTGCAAGAAAACCAACCACAAGAGCACTCAAGATAATGGGTTAGTGGGTTAGTTTGGAAGTTAAGATAAATTCCATAATTAAATCCACTAAGCATTACTTAACCCCACTTAGCCCACTAACTAAGATTTAGTTTAGAGTTAAGAAAAGTTAAAAACACATTGTGAAATTAATTCACGTGTTTCACTTTTGTTTCGTAGTTGTTAAATGATCACTTCATCTAAACGTTTAGGATGAGTTCGTTTTAATATCGAACAACTCTAGCACGTCGATCACGTGTAAATAGGGCCGGTTGACGGTAATTGGTAGGGCAACGGTTGAAAAAATCTCAAGTCTCGATACCATAAAATCGAGATATCTCAATACCATAACATACGATTGTTAGATGGTATTGAGTCTCAACAATAACTAAATACTTTAAGAAACAAACAAAAAGTCTGATCAAACACAAAATAAAAGATAAATAAATAGATATGATCGATGAATTGATCAATTATTAGTACCGGGATAAACGAGCGGAGCTATGTGTCCAACGAAGTCGACGGAGTGAACCACATTGGTGGCGGCTCGATCCTTTTGATCTTATCCGCTCCAGAGGCGGCACGTGGGAGGCGAAGGGTGGCGGAGAAAGTCCTTTCCTCAATGGGATAATTATAGCACGGGGCGAAATCCCGTTTTGCGTAATCAAACACTCCGATATCATGTCCACCGATTTCCGAATCTTCATCCAAATAATCGGGAGTATATTCATTATAGCTCATATGGTCAATTTCATCAACCTGCACTGAAAAACAAAAAATTCAAAAATGCACAAACCACCCACACAGATCAGTAACAAAGTTCATTTATTTTCTACAACCACCACTTTGTGGTATTAGATCATAACAACCGGTACGTGCAAGACGAAAACAATGTACTGTACGTCTGACTAAAAGATCGATCAATCGATCGTATATTCAAGAAGTTAACTCTCGTTTTATTTTGATCTTTCCAAAACGGGTATTTACAGTTTTACTATTTAGGTGAAGTAACAAAAAAAAAAAAATCTCGATTACTCCTCGGTAATCACATCAAAGCACAGCAATTTCAGTTCCTTCTTGTAGAAAGGGTTCCAAAACCTTCCCTATCCATTTCAATCAGCATTGCCTCTCTTATGTGGATATATACACAGCACATTCTGCCAATTAAATAAATAAATGCTTCACTAGTCAAAACAACCAACTTACAACCCCTAAATAAAAACTTCATTAATCAAAACAATATCATAGTATTGCATTTTTTAATGGACAAAACTTACACAAGTCCATCCGATTCAGGGACAACAGATGCAAGCTCCTTGACTTCATGACATTCACTTTCTTCCAGCAAACCAAACAAGCTTCAAAAAAAAAAAAAAAAAAAAAAAACAGCGATAATCGGTTCTTAGAGACGAGTCAAAGTTTCAATGAACTAAATTTATAACCTGATTATATCCTTCGGTACATATCATTAAGCACACAGAAGACAATACCGATAGCCCAGATGTCAAAAACAGTAGAATACGGGGCGGCGAGCATGAGTTCAGGTGCTCTGTTTTGCCCTTCAAACTCTCCATAAATGTTGGCATCGTAAAGATCCACGTAGTCAAAAACAAGATTGGCACCATCTGTCTGCTCAACCGCGTCGAAGAACCTGCTCGACAAAATCGAAGTCATTTATTCTCCAAACATAAATTGTACTTGAATTAAAAAAACGAAGTCATTTATTCTCCAGTTGGATAGCAATAGTAATTGATACTAAAAAACAACAAAATCGAAGTCATTTATTCTCCAGTTGGATAGCAATAGTAATTGATACTAAAAAATAGGGGTGAGCAAGTCGGACCCATCAACCCGCTACACCCGTCAAACCCGTGAAAAACCGCCCCGTTGGGACCGGACGGATAGATCCATCCATAGGATTGGGTCCTAAAATGGTGAAGAACCGTGGGTTCGGGTCTTAGACGGGTTCAAATTTTTTTAATACCCGTGAAACCCGTCCCGCCCCGCCATACAAAACGACGTCGTTTTGTTTACATTATATAGTATAATAAATTAATAATATTAATGAATAAATAAAGTATCTCTAGTGTATCAAATACATAAATCAACTAAACTATAATTGTGGAAGTAATAGCTATAAAGATTATGAAAATCTCTAAGAAAATGTAGGAAAAAAAACATATATATACAACAGTCAACACCCGGCGGAAAAAAAACATATATATACAACGGTCAACACACGACAGAAAAAAAAAGGAAGAAAATGGTGTTGAATGGAGCCGAATAGTGTTGGTTATGCTTGAAAAAGCTATATTTATTTTATTTAAATTTTGTCTTTTAAGTTATAAATTAGTTATTTTTAGTTTTATATTAATTTTTATTTACTCTTGACATTTATATTATTTATGTTTGGTTTTAATTTAAAATTTTAGGTTATTCATTTTAGTTTCTAATTATTCTCGCGTAAAACTTATAAATTATATATAAAAAAAAAAATAGTTTAGACGATAACGGGTTTCAACCCGTAAAGGTTGGGTCCTACTACAAACCCGTCATGGACCCGCCTATCGTAAACCCGTTAAAAACCCACAAGTTTGGTTCTTCAAAATCAAGAACCGTTGTTTGACGGGTCGAGGGCGGGTTTTGATAGAACCCGCGGGTTTATGGCCCGCGCACACCCCTACTAAAAAACAACAAATCAGCAAGAATGACATAATAAAATGAATATTTATAAATGTTTTAGCTATAATTCCAAGCGAAACATCACGTATCCTCGAGGTATGTGAATGGTCAATTACATTTTCTAGGTACTTAATATTCCTCGCAGATTGAAACAGTAAAAATATTCAAACACTCGGATTCATCGCTTGAAAGATCAAGTTAGATAAACATTTATGAATCATAAATTACTAGGTTTTTTTGTCACTTTGGAATAATAACAATTATTTGAATGACTCAAGACACCAAATTCCTTTGACACTTACCCTTGTAGACCTTCCCTTGAGTACTCCAATTCAATCCACTTCAAAGTGATTTAACTAAAATAATTTTGTGGAGTCGGATTGGGAACCGGCTTCTGTTCCGGAACAGGCTCAGTTTTGTAACTATTTATGGAATTGCATTTGGTAGTGGACTCCATAATATAAAATAGCTAATGTTAATACAAAGAAAAAAAAGAAAAAGACGAATAATATTGTTTAAGTAATGCAATTTTTGGCCCATCTTTTTTACCTCGGAGTGTTCGCTTTTTTCTTCAACCGGTTGAGACGTCTTTCTCTTTTCCGTTTTATAGCTTTTTCAATTTTTTTCTTTAACCATTTCAGACGCCTTTCTCTTTTCCGTCTTAACAAAGAACCGTGCGGCCTTAGCTCCTTCTCGCTCCTCGCGATAGCTAAGTCAGCCTCTCCCGAATGTGTTGCGAATACTTAAGTGATAGAAACAAAGAAAGAAAGAAATTAAGAAGATAAGAGAGTTGGTAAGAAAGTACTTTATTGCTTCAGTACTTGTTGGATTACTTGGATTTTCTTGGATGATTACAAATGAGGATCCTACCTTTATTTATACAAGTCCACCTTCTCAATGGACGGTGAAGATCTATTCGATCTAACGGTTGGGAGTGGTTCTCTAGAACACTCCAAAGAATTCCTAAAATGTCTCTACCTACATCTACCTACCTCTACCTACCTCTATACATTTGGGCCAACTTGGGCCTAACCCTATTTGGGCTAAATCTTGGTCTTCTTAACCTCCCCAACCCAAGGGAAACTGGCAAGGGGTTGGGTCAAAACTAGCGGGTCGTGACATCCTCCCCCGCCCAATCTGGCGACGTCCTCGTTGCCTCGAACAAGTGGAGACGATCTTGAAATTGCCACAAGTCTTCCTTCGTCTCCCACGTTGACTCGGACTCGGGTAATCCCTTCCATTTGATGAGGTATTGAATACTCGGTGGAACTCCCCTACGTCGCTTCAATTGTCGGCCGAGCACTTCCTCGATCTCCTTATCGTATGACTTAGTCATGATGGGTGGTGCTCGGTGCGACTCTCCTCGGCTCGGGTCTTCCTTGTCTTCGTGATAAGGCTTCAACATACTCACATGGAAGACCGGGTGGATTTTCAAAGAACTTGGAAGTTCTAGGCGATACGAAACTTCACCGACCTTGGCGATCACCGGGAATGGTCCTTCGTACCTTCGCACAAGTCCCTTGTGCATGCTCCGCAATGCCTTGAATTGTTGGGGCAATAGTTTCACCATCACTTAGGCCCCAACGTCGAACTCCCGTGGTCGCCGTTTGTCGTCCGCCCATTTCTTCATTCGTCGCCTAGCCTTCTCAAGGCACGCCCGGGCTAAGTCGGCTTGTTCCTCCCATGACTTAGCCATCTTCAATGCTCCGGGACTCCGTCCGTCGGTTGCCGTAGCCAAAGTGTGTGGCGTAAGTGGTTGTTGTCCCGTTGCAAGCTCTAATGGACTCCTCCCCGTGGCTTCACTCCGTTGCAAGTTGTAAGAAAATTGAGCCACGTCGAGGAGTTTCGCCCAATCTTTTTGATTGGCTCCCACGAAGTGCCGTAAGTAGCACTCGAGTAGGGCGTCGAGTAGGGCGTTCACCCTCTCCGTTTGCCCGTCGATTTGGGGGTGAAAACTCGTCGAGAAACAAAGCTCGGACCCCAGAAGCTTGAAAAGTTCCGTCCATAATCGCCCCGTGAAGCGTGGGTATCGATCGCTTATGATGTTCCTCGGTAGTCCCCAATATTTGACGACGTTCTTGAAAAAGAACCGGGCTGCCTCCTCCGCGGTGCAATCCCTCGGGCAAGCTATGAACGTCCCATATTTTGAAAAGCGATCTATCACCACTATGATAGATCCGGCCCCCTCGGACGTCGGCAAGGCACTAATGAAGTCCATTGAGATCGACTCTCATGGTCGCTCGGGGATTGGGAGTGGCTCAAGTAACCCTGCCGGCTGTTTATTCTCCACCTTGTCTTGTTGACACACAAGGCAAGTCTTCACATATGCGTCGACATTGTCCCGCATGTGAGGCCAAAAGTAGGCCGTCTCGAGCAACGCCATTGTCCGCCTTTGGCCCCGATGCCCCGCCCACTTGGTGTCGTGGCATTCCCTTATGAGGTCCTTCCTCAAGCTTCCCCACTTCGGAACGAAGAGTCGTTGTCCCTTCGTGTGGAGTAGGCCGTCCTCTACCCAAAATTGCCTCGTCTTGCCCTCCTTGACGAGTCGAATTTAGCTCCTTGGTCCTTGGATCATGTTCGAGACCTTCTCGGATCATGTCGGCCAAGTTCCCCGTTGTCGAGCTAATGGCTGCGAGTTCGGCCTTTCTACTCAATGTGTCGGCCACAACATTTGCCTTTCCCGGTTTGTACTCCAACTCGTTGGCATGATCCACCTCCCTCCTAGGTGGAAGTTTGTCGGGTAAAGTCGGTTGCATCACGTCTTGGTTGGCCTCCAAGACGGTTTGGATGATCGGTGGCACGTCCTCCTCTTTGTTGACGAGCGGGCTTTCCCCCTTTAAAACGGCTAAAAATGTCGGCTCGCCCCGTCGAACTCCCTTGGCAACTTGTATGGCCGACAGTTGCCTTGGTTGCGTACTTTCTTCCTTTGTGGTGCCATTGGTGGCTGGCACCATGCAAGGTGTTCCCTTCTCTAAGATACAAACTGAATTAAAACAAGGCATCGGGATAGCCATTACCTTACGGAAGAAATCCATGCCTAGCACCACCTTGAAGTCATCCATTGGTGCTACACCGTTGAGCGGTTGTACCTTAGTATTAACGGCCTTGAGCCAACTGTCTCGTCTGATCCACCGTAGGCCAACCCTCTTGGCCTCGTCTTCGGTGATAAAGTTGTGGGTCGCTTCCGTGTCCACCATCACCTTTGATGGGGTACCGTTGATGCGGGCCTCCACGTACATCAGCCCCTTGCTTGATGTTGCCGGCATCGGATTAGCCTTTAAGGCGTTCAGAAGTTGGAGCGATCCCATGTTGCCTAGCTCCTCGTTTGTGCCTTGCTCGGCCTCTTGTTGTAAGAGTGCCGACAATGACCCCATCTTGGGACATTGACTCATCGCGTGCGGCCCCTTTCACACGAAGCATCCTCCCTTAGGCACAAACGACCTCTTCTTCTCTTCAAGTTGATGGCGTGAGGATGGCTTGTCTCCTCCCCTCGAGGTTGACGCTCGCCTTGGGTCTCGGTTGTCTCGATGGTCCCGACCATGATTGTCCCATCTCTCTTCTCCGCCTTTAGTCGGGTTCCACTTCTCTTTTCGCAACGAATCTCTCGGTTGATACTCGGTTAAAGACTCGGCGGCGGCAATAGCTTCATCGACGGATTTGATGTCTCGTCGGTGGAGT